TTTTGTGGAGTGGCATCATGAGACATTTTACATTTTCAAGGGAAACATGGATCCTTGACATCCACTGGAAGTGAAATAAGATACTAGCCTGAGGTAGTTCACGGTTTCAGAATTAGATAGCACTACATTCCTTTCAATGGCATCACATTTTTGTAAAGCTGGGTTTTTCAACTGTTTCTAGGACAAAAAGCAATACAGTGTGAAAACCATAGTGGAAAAGGAAATAAGGTTTGCTCCTTTCAAGCACAACTCAAAGGTCATCACTTCCTGCTCCCCTCTTTCACTCTCTTATATAGTCTGTATGCCCATCATCTTTGCTAATTATATTTTGAGCAGCTTTAAAGTTAGAAATTCTGCCTAAATGTTGGTAATGTTCTTCATGGAAGCATTTGTAATAGGTAAACACTAGATACAACCTACAGAGCCCTGATGGTGCAAGGAATAAGCACTTGGCTGCTAACTGTGATGCTGAACTTCTAACTTTTCACATAGATTATAAGTGTTTATTAAGCAGGACCCTAAAACAGCAGCAGCAACAACCATAAAAAAGCAGTTAAAAGAATGTGCTCTATATTAAAGATCATGATTTTAAAGAGGCAGAAAATCAGAAGAAACATATTCAGAAAAGAATAGTTAGAAATGTAAAAGTTTTTAAAATTTATGACAAATAAGAAGCATTTGAAAAGACCATAAATGATTAGCCCAAAGAAGAAAAGACTTGGTATAAAATTCATCCATTACTAATAAATGTAGACTAGCTTTCTAGTGACAAGACTATCCAGTTTTCCTGGGGCATAATTCCTAGACTGTCTCATGTGCAAGAATAATTAGCAAAAATCGGAGCAGATGTCAATATTTCCACACAAGATTAGTGGTAGAAACAATCAGGAGTAGGTATTAGGTACGTGGTACACAATGTTACCACAATTCTATTATAAAATGATGATCTACAACTCACATTCAAAAGGAATAGGCTAGAATTTATGCTGCATTCAAATCAATCAATTATATAGCTAATCAATGAATGACAAATATTAATTAAATGCTCAACTAAATACAAATTTGTGTTTCAATTTTATTTATACCCAAAGGCAATTAAGATATTTATTTTCCCAAGAGAAGCGTAAGCACTTAAGATTTTTCCTTTGCAGATGGCATATAATAAAATCCACAGGGATTGATGAAACACACAACACTATAGAAATACTACACCAGTACACAATCTTAATATGTCATGTGAATCATTAACTGTAGCCTGTTTTCCATTATTTCAAAATCTAGTACAGTTTCTGTGGGTACAATATTCTGTAACTTACTCCTCTCTCTTCCTTAAATGTACAAAGCAGAGTTCCAGGACGTGGAATGAGGGATATCATTGCTGATGTCAGATGGATTTTAGCGGAAAGCAAAGAGAATCAGAAAGATGTTCATTTATGTTTTATTATGTATGCCAAACATTTGATTGTATGGATCATGACAGATTGTGGATGACATTGAGAAGAATGGGAATTCCAGAAGACTTGATAGTACTCATGAGGAACCTGTACATAGATCAGGAGGCTGTCATTCAAACAGAACAAGGGAGTACTGCATGGTTCAAAATCAAGAAGGGAGTGCATCAAGATTGTATCCTTTCACCATACTTATTCAACTTGTATCCTGAGCAAATAATCCAAGAAGCTGGATTATATGAAAAACATGGCATCAGAATTAGAGGAAGACTAATTAACAACCTGCGATGTGCAGATGACAAAACTTTGCTTGCTTAAAGTGAGGATGACTTGAAGCACTAACTGATGAAGATTAAAGACTATAGCCTGCAGTATGGATACACCTCAATATAAAGAAAACAAAAGTCCTCACAACGGGTCCAATAAACAACTTCACAATGGATGAAGAAAAGATTGAAGTTGTCAAGGATTTCATATTACTTGGTTCTACAACCAACACCAATGGAAGCAGCAGTCAAGACATCAAATGACGTATTTCATTGGGCAAAACTACTGCAAAAGACCTCTTTCAAGTGATAAAGAGCAAAGATTTCTCCTTGAAGACTTGTTGTTGTTTGTTGTTATGTGCCGTCAAGTTGGACCGACTCATAGTGACCTATCCTTTGGTTTCTGACTTGAAGACTAAGGTGCACCTAATCCAAGCCATGGTATTTTCAACCATCTCTTATGCATGTGAGAGCTGGTCAATGAATAAGGAAGACCAAAGAAGAGCTGACACTCTTGAGCTGTGGTGTTGGAGAAGAATGCTAAGAGTAGCATGGTCTGATAAAAGGACTAACAAATCTGTCCTGGGAGAAGTGCAGCCAGAATGTTCCTTGGAAGCAAGAATAGCAAAACTTCATATCATCTACTTTGGTCATGTTATCAGAAGGAACAATTCCCTGGAGAAGGATATCATATTTGGTAAACTGGAGGGTCAATGAAGAAGGGGAAGACACTCAACAAGATGGATAAACACAGTGGCTGTAACAATGAGCTAAGGTATAGCAAGGATTGTGAGGCTGGCACAAGACTGGGCAGTGTTTCGTTCTGCTGTGCATAGGGTCATTATGAGTCGGAGATGACTTGGCACCTAACAACAACAGTTCCAGGCATGATGGTTTGTAGTGATTCTCCAGGACTTGTGGCATTTCCTAGCATTGTGACTCATGACACTGTAGGACACCCCAAGGAGAATATGCATTGCACAGTATGCTGTAGAGGGCTCCATACCACAAGTTCCCCAGCAATCATTTCTTAGGTATTGTGGAAAAGGTAAGGGTATAAACTCCTGAAATAAATATCAGGAATCTTCAATATGTTATGAAATCATGGCACTCCAGGTGATCTTGAGTGGTCAGTTCAGGGCATTGAGAATAATATTAGGGTGAGATAGTCAAAAGATACTAATACATAATTTTTTACTTCAAGAAGTTGAAAATATTAATGTAAAACATGTTTAAACAAATACAAATTACAATAGAGGAAAATGAATATAAAATATTGGAATAAGCAATATGTTGTGATAAATAATGATGATGATGATAATAATAGCTACAATAAACAATTAGTAGAATGTTATTGTTTTAGGTGCCATCGAGTCATCTCGACTCATAGCAACATTATGCACAGGAGGACGAAACACCACCCAGTCCCATGCCAGATCTGCGACCCCTGCTGTATTTGAGCCCATCGCCACAGCCACTGTGTCAATCCATCTCACTGAGGGCCCTCCCCTCTTTTGATAACCCTCCACCTTAGCAAGCTTGACATCATTCTCCAGGGAATGGTCCCTTCTAACAACATGACCACAGTAGGTGAGACGAAGTCTGGCCATTCTTGCTTCCAAGGAGCATTCTGGCTGCACTTCCTCCAGGAAAGATTTGTTAGTTCTTTTAGGAGTCCATGGCATTTTCAGCATTCTTCACCAGCACCACATCTCAAAAGCATCAATTCTTCTTCACTCTTCCTTATTCATTGTCCAGCTCTCACATGCATATGAGGCAACTGAAAATATCATGGCTTGTGTCAGGCACACCTTAGTACTCAAGGAGACATCCTTGCTCTTCAGCACTTAAAAGAGGTCCTGTGCAACTGACTTGCCTAGTGCTATACGTCACCTAATGTCCTGACTGCTGCTTCCATTGGCATCAATTGTAGAACAAAGCAATGTGAAGTCTTTGACAACTTCAGTCTTTTCTCCATTTATCGTGATGCTGCTTATAGGTCCAGTTGTGAGGATTTTTGTTTTCTTTATATTGACATCTAATCTATACTTCAGACTGTATTCTTCAATCTTCATCAGTAAGTGTTTCAAGTCATCCTTACTTTCAGCAAGCAAAGTTGTGTCATCAGTGTATCGCAGGTTGTTAATGATTCTTCCTCCAATCCTGATGCCATCTTCTTCATATAGTACAGCTTCTTGGATTATTTGCTCACCATACATACAGATTAAATTAATATAATGAAAGGATACAACCCTGACACATTCCCTTCTTGACTTTAAACCATGTAGTGTCCCCTTGTTCTATTCGAGTGACAGCTTCCTGGTCTATGTGCTGGTTCCTTGTGAGTACAATTAAATGTTCTGGAACTCCCATTCTTCTCAATGTTATCCACAGTTTGTTATGTTCCAGACAATCAAAGGCTTTTGCATAGTCAATAAAACACAAGTAAACATCTTTCCGGTATACTTTGTTTTGAGCCAAGATCCATCTGACATTAGCAGTGACATCCATTGTTCCATGTCCTCTTCTGAATCCAGCCTGCACTTCTGGAAGTTCTCTGTCAATATACTGCTGCTACCATTTTAGAAATATCTTCAGTAAGATTTTACTTGTGTGTGTTATTAATGATATTTAATAATTAGTAGGATAGTGACCATATAATTTTGGGGATTGTGAGGATGGCACTGGACCAGGCCATATTTCATTCTGTTGTACATAAGCTCACTATGAGTCAGAATTGACTTGGTGGAACCTAACAATAACAACAAGAATATACAAACTCATAATAAATATGAATGAATCTTCCATTTGACATAGAACATTGACTGATAATATCCTTGTGCACAACCATCCACCTTGGTTTCTCCAAGATTGTCTTGCTTTTTGCACTGAAAGTCTCATGTCCCAGGAAAGCCAGGGATTTGGTCAGCCTATTGGTTATTGTACTTCAACAAACCTTTGTAAATTCGCCATTATGATAATATTTTATAAATACCTAATCAAGGAAGATGGGGCAATCTACTTCCGTAGTGATACTGCCTCGGAAACCCAAGGAGGGGTCACTATGAGTCGGGTCTGACTCGACGGCAAACAACAACAACAACAACAATCAAGGAAATACTATGAATTTCATTTAGTATAATTTTTTTTTTTAAATTTCTCATCTAAATTTCCTACATTTACCTAAACCTTTCTGATAGGTTCTAAATGGAGAAAGAAAATATGCTACTTTTTCTTATATGATACTGCTTCATATGCCAACACTAGTCCAAACTTCACTTACTTTTGCTGCAACCCAATAGATTGTTGACATCCAAATGGCTGGCACTGGGAATGCACGCATCACACTTTGAGCCAGTGACAAATCGTTTACAGAAACACTGGCCTGTGACCAAATGACAGGTTTCATTCAAGGCTCCTGAGAGATGACAGTTGCATGGTTGGCATCTGAAAACAAGACAAATACATCATCAAAGAGAGTAACATTTTTATTAATAATTCATAGCATAAGTTATAACTGCCAAATTTATAACAGACAAAGATGATACTGTTTTACCTAATACTTTAAAAAGGATGCTCAAGCTAACCAAACACACACACACACACACACACACAAAGTCTTTATCAAAACTCTGCTCAGGGTAAAACCTGTATGACGTCTTCTCTTTGTAAAGTTCCTAACAGCAGAAAGTATTATATTGATCATTTTGAGTATCGTTGTTCCATTAAAAATCCTATACATTTTGCTTTCTCACAAAAGTAGTCCATCAGCTAAAGTTTTAGATTAGCTACCCATAAAATGATCTTCTCAAGAAACTACCCAATTGTGAAATAGAAAACTGGGAATGATAACCATTGCCTTCACTAAGAAAACTTGAAATTCTATATTTATTTTTATCAAGACTGTTTCACTAAGAACATAATAGAAAATTAAAGTATGAGGAAGACATATTAAAAAATGGTCAATGTCTTAATACAGGTTGTATTTTCATTTTCTATGTGATGCACTAAATCCATTTATTCAGAATGGTTGGAGAACAGAACATTATTGTGATTTATGAAAAGATGTTAATGATACAAATATAATGAGATAACTTCACTCCAACTTTAATTTATTAGACCCAAAGTTGCCTGTAAAAATCACTGTCCTGGCATTTTGCCATGATAGAAACTGAAACCTGTTTTCTGGGAGTGAATTATTCAAACACTTAGCCTATGCCAATGGCATTGATTAGGATAAGCATTTTGGCACCATAGCACATGAGAGAAGCAAAAGCAGCACATGTAAGAAGACCACTCATCTCTAAATGGAAGCCCTCTATGTGTACATTTTAAGCAACGCTAAATGGATTCTCCCATATTTTCCAGTAAAGATGCTGGAGGGATAGAGTTACTTTACCCCACTGTAACTTTTACTGTGTGATCTCCTGAGTAATCATTCAACACCCTTAAAAAGGCCGATAAAAGCTAAGGCTGCCAAATAGGCTGCAAATTTGTTTTATGGACTAATATGCCCTTGGGAACACATAAAGTACAGTTTCTCTTGAAAACCACTGTACTGTAGTTTGCCCTTTTTACGATTACAATAAAAGGACATTTTTTCCCCCACAAACAACTATATCCATTCCTTCATCTGTGGACATTAAATTAGAACTCCACTGCAAATAGGCATTTTGTTTAGGCTATTTAAGTGTTAGAGATGAAGAAATTTATGCATTGAAATTAAAATGGAATAATAGAAGTACCCAATTATTTGATTTGTACTTAATTTCATTACAGTATATTACTTAGAGAATATTGTTTGCAGTCATTTAAAGTAATATTGGTGAACATAAACAATAAGAGGCAAGTTTCTTCCAATGCACATATATGTGTGTATACACATATGTACACTTATGTGTGTGTGTGTATATATATATTTATAACTATATCACTCGTGAATAGGTGTCTCTTGAGTATTTCAGTTTTTATTACCTTTCACATAATCATACTTATTTTACATACAGTATTTTTAGAGTAATGGTTTCCAGTGTATAATTCCTTTCTCAATGTAGTTCTATTTTCTTCCAGCCATCTACTATATACATAACTCCAAGCCAGCTCTGTCAATATCCATGGGATATTACATTCTCAATCCAAGTGGTACAAATAAGCCATTTCTTAGGAAAGCAGACCATGTTTTGAGAAATTAAATGACTTTTTCTGATTTTATAGTGTCTTATCCCAGCCTTTGTTATATCCCACTTATCTGACTTGTTATAATTGTTTGACTTCAGTAAGAGAGAATTTTGCCCAAACGAAGTTCATAGGAGGAGATTTTTCAAAATAATGTTGTTTGTTTTTAGCCCAAAGGACACTGGGGATAGTTGTGTAATTAAAGTTTAAGTAAAATTATTCCTGTAAATTTCTCAGCCACTCAAATGTAATTTTAAACATTTCCAAGACTCTAGCAAATAAGCTATAAGTTTGATGTCATTTTATAAGTGGTCCCTCTTCAGAAGCATCTCCTAAATGAAATATATGTCACGTTTATTAAAACAAAATTATACATAATAAAGGAAAAGGCATTTTAAGCATAGAATGAGAAATACCAAACTAAGATGAATTGTGATATTGATTTTGCCAGGATAAATGGTTTTTGTAATATTAATATAAAGAAACCTTTATTACACTGACTCTCCAGGTACAGCCAGAGCTTCTCCCACAATCTATTTAAAATCTTCATTTTTCATCCTTATGGGAAAACCTCACTTGTTAAATGGATTTCATAAAGAGTAATCTGTCAAGATTTATATAGATAAACAATTTGTGATGTTTATTGACCAGTTCATTATGGTAAACAAAACAGGAGTAAAGCATTGCTAATCCTGCCAGCACTCTGTCGTTATAGCTCTGTTTGGACCCTTATGTAATTCAGTGTTTACTGGATACAAAGGGAAAGAAGTTAATTGGCCTCTGTCTTTTAAATCACAAATCTCATATATTTTCCTTTCCAGGGAGTTTCTTCCAGTTGTACAAACAGTAAGATAAAGAGTTATCATACTCACTACTTTTGCAGAAACACCATTTTTAATGAAGAAAATGTGCTTTAATAATGAACTTCATTGTCAAAAACTGCATAACCTGAGGGAATTAAACTATAGGGGGTCCAGGGATATGATCTGGGATGTAGATAACTTGATTTACATTACTCTGTGGATCCCTCTTCTGTCTGGAGAGGCAAATCATGGGTACCAACAAAAAGTTTTAAATATTTACTGAGAAAAATAACATTCATTGAGAACCAATTATGTGCCAAGACTAGAATAAGCACTAAGGACATAAAGATGAATATGACCTCATAAAATAAATTTGGGAGGATCCCATGTTTTTCCATGTCCTAGATTAGTTTGAGTAGGACTGGTGTCAGCTCTTCTCTGAATGACTGGTAGAATTCTCCAGTGAAACATTCTGGGCCAGGACGTTTTTTTGTTGCTGGTAATTTTTTTATGATTTTTTTCAATTTCTCCTTTTGTTATGAGTGTGTTCAACTTTTCTACCTTAGTCTGTGTTAGTTTAGGTAAATAGTGTGTTTCTAGAAATCTGTCCATTTTGTCTAGGTTTTCAAATTTGTTGTGGTATAGTTCTTCACAGTATCTTGATATTATTCTTTTTATTTCTGTTGGTTCTGTTGTTACTTCACCCATTTCATTTCTTATTTGTGTTATTTACATCTTGTCCATCTTTTCCTTTGTTAAGTTTGTCAGTGGTTTGTCAATTTTATTAATAATTTCAAAGAACTAACTTCTAGTTTCGTTGATTTTTTTTTCTATGGTCTTTCTGTTTTCTGTTTCATTGCGTTCTGATTAAATCTTTCTTATTTCTTTTCTTCTGTGATTGTAGGCTATTTTTGCTGCTCTTTTTCTAACTGTTGGAGATATTAGATTATGGTGTTGATTTTGGCTCTTTCTCTTCTTTTCATGTGTGCATCTATTGCTATAAATTGCCTCTTCATGACTGCTTTGGATGTGTCCCAAAGATTTTGGTACATTGTTTTCATTCTCATTTGATTCACAGATTTTTTTTTTCAATTTCATTTTTCATTTCTTCTATTATCTCCTTTTTGAGGAGGGTGTTACTCAGTTTCCATGCATTTGCTTTTTTCCATTTGTCCTCCTAGTGTTGGTTTCTAATTTTATAACATTGTGATTTAAGAATATGCTTTGCAGTAGCTCATTGTTTTAAAATTATTGAGGCCTGCTTTTCGGCCTAGCATATATTCTACCCTCAAGAATGTTCCTTGTGTGCTGGAAAGTATGTATATTGTGCTGTTGTTGGGTGAAGTGCTCTGTGGATGTCTATAAGATCAAGTTGATTGATTATATCACTTAGTTCTTCTGAATGTTTGTTGAGTTTCTTTCCAGTTGTTCTACCTCTCATTGAAAGTGATGTATTAAAGTCTCCTCCAATTACTGTGGAGTCATCTATTTTCTTTTCAATTCTTTTAAAGTCTGCTTTATGTATTTTGGGGCTATTTCATTTGGACCATAGATATTTATTATGATTATGTCCTCTTGTTTAATTGATACTTTTAATCATTATATCTTGTTCTTCCTTGTCTCTCATGTTATTTTTGTTTTAAAGTCAATTTTATCAGAAATTAACATTGCCACTCATGTCCTTTTTGGTTGTCCTTTCCTTGGTATATCTATTCTCAACCATTGATTTTTAGTCTATTTTTGTCTTTGTATCTAAGGTGAGTCTCTTGTAGACAGCATATTGATGTGTCATGTTTTCTTGTCCAGTCTCCAACTCTCTGTCTCTTGAATGGTACATTCAATCCCCTGATAGTCAGTGTAATTATTGACAAGTATGAATTTGTCAGTGTCATTTTGTTATGTGTTTTTTTTTTCCATGCTGTTGCTGATTTCTTTGTTCCATATAATAATATTCTGTACTGTGTGTGTTTTGTTTATGACTCATGTTATCATTGCCTTCATTGCTATTGTTTTAGTATTGCCTAAATATTTGTGCATGTCCTCTTTTTATTTTGATGCTAAGGTTTATTATTTTTCTTTGAGGTGCCTTGTGATTTATTATATTCATCCCAAGTTTAAAACAGTCTCTTCTATCTCACATTTGTCTTGACTTCCTCTCTATTTAGAAGTTCTGTAACTTCACTATTTATTCCTTCTGTTTGGTGGTGGTTGCGCTCATTTATTAATTTATGTTTCTTGTTACCTGTTTACACTCTTGTAAGCTTATATTACTTTGGTTACTTTTATGACTGGGTTGGTTTGGGGTTATGTCATCATGTGTGATAATCATTGGTTGTTGTTTGCTGTTGTTGGTTCTCTGATCAAAGGACTCCCTTTAGCATCTCTTGCAAGGTTGGTCTGGGTACATACTCTCATTCTCTATCACACCCACCAGGGACAGGTGGTAAGTGTCTAAGTGATAACAAATAG